CAGGTAAATACCTCCACATTTGGGAGATACTGCTGTAATTTGGAGAGAGTAGAAGCCACTGATGGGCTTCAGATTGAAAGGTCGATTCAAGCTTGTAGAATCAAAGAGACCTGGTCGAACAACGAGGATTCAACAACCACTTGTGCTCCTGCAATTGCAAGATGAAGATAGCTTCGGTAAGACGAGTGCTCCCTTCGCTCATCAAAGATTTTCACCACTACTACAATAGTACTGGTGATCAGTTGATCGATCCCACATTGATTTGTTCATTGGAAGTTGGGCGTTGTAGCTAGCTAGAGATGTTGAGGTGGTTTTTTGGGCATTTTAGAGTTTGAAAAAAAGATTGGACAAGAGTACATGCATGCATATGCAAAGGTTAGCAGATTTTGGAGACATTTGAATTGTCACTGGGATGTGGTGTCTGCTTGTGTTTTTGTCTAGCTCTTCTTTTTCCCGCAATACAGTCATTCCTTCTTCTTGTTGTTGTATAGATTGACACAGAAATTCCAGAGTGTACTGAATTTGATTGCTGTAAGTTTCTGTTATGATTTTGCAGTTCATTTCTACAATTGAAGGTACTGGAAATGTATATGATGTCTAATTTCCTGTAGTACAGAAGCAAATGAAGATCTCAGTTAAGGATTTTATGGTTAAATCAGCCAAGATATATAGGTACTGGAAATGTATATGATGTCTAATTTCCTGTAGTACAGAAGCAAATGAAGATCTCAGTTAAGGATTTTATGGTTAAATCAGCCAAGATATATGCGGTGTGGATCAGAATTCAGAAACGTCTCCGTTTATATCCGAAAGGAGACCCTCAGCAGTCCAAGGCTCCAAGCATATCCAGGCAAATTTACAAGCTTTTGGATTCTATAGACTGTCGAGAACTAGTTGCTCTCAATAACTCGAGTTGTTGGGAGAGGTTCAATCGTGGATCATATACCACAACACTAACACGCACAGGTCTGAGGACAATAATACCATGTGCTTAACAAATGGGGGTCACCGGGAATTGAACACAAGACCTCTCAGTCACAGAAGGCTCTGATACCATGTCGAGAACCAGTTGGTCCCAATAACTCGAGTTGTTGGGAGAAGGTTTTGTTGGATCTTATACTACACTCTAACACGCCCCCTCAAACGAAAACCAACCCATGGGCTTGAAGTTTGCACAGGCCCACCATACCATGTGCTTGAAAGACAACGGTTAATATTGGGGTCATGGAGATTCGAACACATGACCTTTTGGTTCGAGGCTCTGATACCATGTCATAAACCAGTTGCTCCCAATAACTCGAGTTGTTGGGAGAGGTTCAATCGTGGATCATATACCACAACACTAACATAGACCAGTCCGAAAAAACTTCATAAACAGACCACGCCAACACAAGTAGACTGCACCAACACATGGGGGAAACACTGTCAAAAAAAAAAACACATGGGGGAAACAAATGAAGTTGTAGTTAAGAGATTGACCAGTCATTAAAAATTAAAGCAATCAAATGATATTGCTGCAATATTTATATCAATCCAGGTCTAATGTTGGATAACTTCGTATACAAATGCATACAATGGTGGGCACATCGCTCTAACATGTCACTACGGGCTACGTCAGCCTTTTACATTGTACAAAAGCGAAATACGGTAAAACCAAACTGAATCTAAGTAGCAATCTAGCATGATCCTAGGCCCCAAGTTTCCCCCCTACTGATACAGCTTATCAACGGCAAGTGCTCTGGCAAAGTAATCCCGGATGTCGGGCAAAATTCGCGAGATCAGATGGAACGCCTACACATTTGAACACACTCATCTTTAGCACTTGTCTGAGAAATGTTATTGGCTATTCGAATTTGTTCATGAAAATGCCGATGAAAGAGAGTGTTTCAGCCTAGAAAGTACTAGGTGGGTGTGTAGAGTACGAGCGAGACGGTCGTTTTTTTGTGAGGGAACGCACTCCTGAACCCTACAAAACAAGGATTCGTGGGCAGTTGCGGAGGACACTCTCCGAAGATTAAGTTAGAGAGAAAAGTGAGAATATAAATTAGGTTTAGAGAGAGAGAAAGTAGTTGAGTTACCACCAATGCTTCTACGGGGTTATTTATAACCTAATAAGTGAGGACTCGGGCATTAAATGCTGTGCCAGGCACCCTAAGTATGTAATTTCCCGTAACAGACCGCCTATGGTGGGTAATTAATGCTCAGTACTGCTTATACCGAGGTAAGCATATCTCCGAATCTTACCCTCCTGTCACCATGAGTGGTTTATGCCAGGCAGTTTGATTCCTATCCCGTCCCGAGACAACCGCCCACTTATCATTGGCCTCCTTGCTAGGCCGAGCTTACTTTCCTTTATGGGCCTCATATTTCAATACCGCTCAACCACGCGGCCCAACATATAGTGTCGCATACCATGGCTTGGCGCTGAGTTTTTCAAAGTGCTGAAATAAGAACAGTATACATGCTTCTCGCAAGGTCATGGCGTTGAAGTTCTCCGACAACTCATACATGAGAGTGATGTTGTCTACGGAGATAACATGTTTGGTGCATAACAAGAACGGTAGAATACATGAGATCACTGGTAGAGTACAAGCAGGAGCGGACCCAAGTTAGTCTAAGGGTTGTCAATTGACAACCCTTGGATCCAAATTTGGGACAAAAAAACCTCTATAAAATTTTGTTTTAGTGGTGATAGTATTGAGATACTACACTATTTGAAAATCCTTAGTGATTTTGGTCTATCGTTGAATACCCTTAATAAAATTTCTGGGTCCGCCATTGAGTACAAGAATGGTCCTACCAACATAGGGAAAGTGCTTACTTACCTGAGCAATTGCATACTCGCAGAGGCGCTTGAGAGTTGAGACTATCCAAAAGATACTGATCAGCAGCTCTCAGGAGTTCATGAGCAAGTGAGCAACATCTGTGCTGACTTCAACAGACCCTGTGTATATGAACCTAGGAGCAAGCAAAATCAATCAAGAGTTTTAGAAGATAAGGCCTCGTTTAGTATTGTTGCTTGTTTTTGTTTCTGTTGTGTTTTTAAGAATTGGAGAAATCAAGGAGAAAAAATATGTTTAGTTGGGTTTTTATTCTCTGTTGTGAATCAGATTCACACAACCAGACCCAAATCAGAGAAACAACAATTTATTGATTTGGATCTGATTTCTAAACATGTTTCACGCGGGATTCCTCCTGGTTGGGACTCTGATTTCATTAAACCAACCCTGAGTTCGAGTCCCATCTTAAGCAAAATATATATATATATATATATATATATATATATATATATATATATATATATCCGCAACCCCACCCCCAAACCCTAAATCGGCCAACCATCTCCTCATGTTAGACAAGTCGCCGCCCAGCTACTCTCTCCCTCTCTCAACTTCTTCCTCTCAAGAGGAAAGTCGATGACCGCTCCCTTCTCGTCGCCCAGCCTCGCACCGCCACTCCCCTGCCGCCGACCCTCTCCCTCGCCGACCACTTCTTCCTCTCCACTCGTCCCTCCCCCCGTCAACGACCTCTTCCAATCCTCCGTCTCCCTCGATACTTGTCGCCTTCTTGTTTACCTCCCGAGTCTTCCAAGCTAGAGGAACGGCAAAAGTCAGGAGCTTCCCAATGATCTGCTCATTCCTCAGCGCTATGAATGTCGTCCATCTTACTTGCATGAACCCACACAATTGTATGGTGATGCGAGGAAATCCAGAGTCCTTGAGGAACTTCTCTGTGCAATACTTGATCTCCATTAATGGAACCTCAGGATGCTTGTCACAATTGTGGATTGAATAGAACATGTATTTCTGCACTCTCATTGCCTTCGCACATTGTATAAGCACAACTTTCCCTTCCCAATCCACCTAAACACTAGAACACTCATGGATTAGGGTTTTCGTTCACACCAAAGGTTCCAATTCCCCAATTTCCATCAATTAATAATAAGATATGGACTATTTCATGAATATGGAAATTATGAACATGAAGAAGGTTCGACTTTTGGGGTTAAGCTATCACTGACAGAGTACAACGTCAGCTATACAACAACACGTCAGCTATGTAGTAACTAAACGCGTTTTTGTTTCTTGTTGTCAGCTTTCATGATTTTTCAGATGTATCAACTAAACAAGTTTGTGTTTTCTATTTTTTTCTGTTGTGGTTGTACATTTATTTACACAACACCATTACAACCACAACAGCAACAATATGATACTAAACGGGCCCGAGGTCGCTTAATTTGCTGACGTGCCTTGAAATTTTAGTGGAGGACTGATTTTTCCAATATCAGACCTCATCATTAACTCAAAAACTTCCCAAGTAATGTTTGGGATCTCTTCATTTTTTTTTTGTGTTAGAATGATTGTTTAGTAGGGTATATAGAGACAATTTTTTTAACACGGTAGATATCAAATGTATTCTACAATTATTTTAGAGTATGAAAACACTTAATTAACTTTTTTAACCTAGTTAGGTATTTTCTTATTTACAATTTTATTTTTATTAAATTTATTTTTTAAAAGAGGACACTCGTATGAAAATTTCCTTGGTCCGCAACTGAATGTATATCCCATCTTCCTATCCTAGGAAGACATGGAATCAATTTCTTTCTTTGTGTCCTGTTTCCATAATGTACAATACAAGTAACAAGGAGACAGGAATGTGGTGATCTTCCTAGAGATTCGAATTGCTCAACAGCATTCAAGACATGGAGCTCTGCTCAAGAACAGACGAAGGAAACAATGAAGAAGGAGCAGAGCAAAACGTCAACATAAAGGATAAGCGCCATACAAAAACGGTGCACTTCACCAACGAAAGTCTTTCCATTTTAAATGTACAGTTTTACACGTGTTAGTCTGTAATTGGTAGAATTAAGCAGTTAGTTAGAGTTAGTCGTTAGTTACAATGATTAGTGAAACCCTTTGTATATATATTGATTTGTCATCAATGGAAAGCTCATCGACCAGGCATACAACACGTGGTATGAGTTGGCAAAAAAAAAAATGAGAGGAGATCTCTCCTCTTTCTTTGAGTTCTGGACGACGGCGCTGCTGCCCCTTTTCGAACTCGGTCAATTGGCCGGTACGGCCGTTCTCTCCGTCTGCTCAACGTTACTATGCTTTACCCTGGACAACCAAGGAATTCCGGGATTCCGAAGGGCCAGACCCTTCACGATGGTGATGGAGAAGGACTTGAAATCTAATCGCGTGGCCTTTCACAAGAAGAGACCTCAAGTGGTGGAGTCTTCTGATAGTCATCCTGGAACGCGTCGGTGTGTGGGTGTGAAGGGCTCCCGTAAGCGGCTAAGAGATCAATCCAATATGCTAATTCGTGCGGAGAATTTCCCGAATCCGAAACGCTTCTGTCTTGCCAAACGCGGTTGTGGTGTTTTCGCTTGCCATAGTCGGTCGAGGTGGAAGAAGAGGTGCAGGAGATAACTATCGCCTCGCCCCTGGTCGGCCAGCTAAGGGAATTGGAGAAGGATATGATTTCCCAGTCCACCCCGTCTCCTTGTGAACTGCGACCCCAGAACGGGAAGATTTCTGAGCTTAGACCCCGTGGGGGGGCGAGCTCAATCCAGCTGAGTGAAGGGATTCCAGTGCCGGTATCGGATGTCCAGGACCGGCGACTGGCTGCCCACTGGAGTCCGATGCCCTGGCGGTCGGTGCCTCTTCCGATGCTCTTGCGGTCGGGGCCTCATCGGAGGCATAGGCCGAGAGAATCTCCAGCTGGCCAGTGAACCTTTCGTGATGTCGCGGGATTCGCGCTGGCTTGTAACGGACTTCGGGATTTTCAGTTGCACTGTATCAGTCGGCGACATGGATTATCTGCCACATCGTTTGGTTATTCTATAATTTGTAGACTCCCAATCCAATTAGAGCTCTCGAGCCAGGAGGGAACTGCGGACAGGTTAGCCTATTTAAACAACTCGATTATTGTTAGTCCTCACCAACGCAAGTCTGCAGAGGAGAATCGGGAGCTTAGTAGGCGAGCCGACATCCGCGAGCAAGAGCACTACTCGGATAAGTGTCAACCCTTGGGTTTAGGGATGAGCTTGGAAATCTGTATGGATGATTGTCCCACCATTAAATTGGAGTTCCTATTCTCTAGCTTCCCGTGGGATCCTACTCGATCCTACCCTGGTAATATAGACGCTGGTGACATTGCTGTTTATTCTCTTTTCCAGGCAAGCACAATGGCGCATATTACTCGAGATCAGGTTGTGGAGTTCTCGTTGGACGAAGTCCAGCCTGCTCGTGTTCGTACGGCGAAGATGCTACTTGGTCGCGTCTTCTCGGAGGAGCGGCTGACGACATTGGAATTGCGGGAGGCAATCAACAACCCTTGGCAGGGCCAGGGTCGTATCACAGTGAGGGAGGTCGCTCATGGGCTGTATGAATTCGCATTGCCATCCGAAGCTGCGAAAAACTGGGTGCTCCAGCGTACTCCCTGGGTGATGAAGGACAAAATCCTCCACCTTCGCTCCTGGGTGCCGAACATCACCACCCGAATTTTCGAGGAGATGGCAATTGCTCCGTTCCGCGTCCAAATGTGGGACGTGCCTGAAGATTGCTGCACCCAACAATTTGGGCGCAAGGTCGCGAGTTCCACCCTTGGCCGAGTGCTTGAAACGGGGGTCTTCATGTGCAATGACAATGATAACACCTTCATCAAGGTAAAGACACTCATTGACTTCTCCAAACCCCTTCGCTCCCAAATCATGGCAACCAATGAAGAGATGGGGGAATTCTGGATCAGATTCAAGTACGAGCACTTGCCCAGCTTCTGCTACAATTGTGGCCGGGTGGGGCACTTCCGGCAAGCCTGCACATTTGATCCTCCGGTGAGGAAATAGCGGTTTGGTCCGCACATGGCAACTAAGAAGATGGGAAGAAAAGTTTTTGATGAAATGGAGAATGGCCAGCACTTCAATGGCCAACAATACTCGGTTTGGATTAATACTAATGTGAGAAACAAGAATGGCTATGAAGCCAAGCCTGATCGTCAGTCGGCGAGCATCCAGGATAGGGCTCTTGGTTCGGTTGATCGTCGGGAGAATACCGGGCTACGAAGGGGCACTAACCGGGCCAAAAATCCAGTTGCTGAGGAAAGTCCGTTGTGGGTTGGGTCTTCTGATAATCCATTCGCCACGACGGAACAGCGATCCAAGCAGGGAAAGAGCCCCCTCCGATTCCCAGTACCAAAAGCCCCCAAGGTTATGGTGGGGAAACCGACCCGTCGCGACAAAGGGAAATCGGGGACTGATGTGTGCCCAATGGAGATTGACTTGAACTACAACAAGGCCAAGGTGCCACGGAGGCGGGAGACTAAGGCCAGAAGAGTGAGGGAGGATAATGTTTTGGAGCCCGCGGTGGAGGCACTAACTCGAGAGGCAGTGGTTACTCGTCCTAGGAAGGGGCGATCATCTGCTTCCTCCATGCTTATTGACGAAACGGCGTTAACCCGGGGGCGGCGGCTCATTCTTGAAGAGGAGTCGGAAGATGAGTTTTTTATTCAAAAAATTCCTTCACCCGGGCAAGAAAAGGGTCTGCGCGCACCTCGTAAGCAAGAGTCAGCCGACTCCATGGTGGCGAAGGCGGCTGTTCAACAGCAAGACTCGGGACCGCGGGGTGAAGATACTGGGCATGATGATGCTCCTCCTCTTATACCCACCAAGAAGGGCAAGAGTGCACTTCAACCTCGGGCCCCGAAACCGGTGGGCAGGCCCAAAAGGGTGGGGCTGGTGGGTGAAAGCAGACGATCCAAACGATCCCAAAATGGGCCTGCTGCTGCTTCCTTGGCCGCTCAAGCTGGGATTGCTGTCAACGTGATGGAGGAAACAGGGGCGCTTAAGGAAGCAAGCCGGGTTCTCTCGCCCACTCCGGGTTCCACCGAGCGACAAGTTACTCGAATGGGATCAGAGGGAGCTAATTCGGATGAGGAAGACCAACCCTTTGAGCTTCGCCGCCGATCCCCTGTGAGCAAAGAAAGTCTGAAACAACTGGCGCGATCTTCGAAGGTCAGTCAGGTGGTGCGGGCATTCGAACATGGGTTGGTAATGAAAGATAAGGAGGAGGTGCTGATTACTGGAGAACAGCAGGAAATGGTGGGGGAAATTGCGAATGCCACCTCCTTTAATGAATATAGTAGCAATTTCTCTGACCCAGAGCTGGACTCGAAAAAGCGTCTATTTCAAGAGGTTGATGGGGATTGGGCTGATGGCCCAACCCCAAAGAGACAGTTTGTCGAGGAAAAAGATGATGAGGAAAAGGTGGAGGAAGCCAGCCTGGAGTGGCCCCAACCAGTTAAATGAGGCTTCTGTCCTGGAATGTGAGAGGAATTGGACCAGCCCTCACATTCCAAACTGCTGTTGGGTTATTTCGTTCTAATAATCCGGATCTCGTGTTTTTTTCGGAAACACGATCGAGCAGGAAGGTAGTGGCCCGTCGTATGCGCGGCTTAGGTTTTGATATCTCTCGTTGTTTCTTTGTTGATGCGATTGATGCATCTGGTGGGTTAGTTGTAGCTTGGTCCCCCGAAGTTGATGCTTCGGTGTTTTTTCATTCCAACTTTTGTATTTGCACTCAAGTTAATGAAATTTCTTTTTCTTATGTGGTGGTTTCTGTCTACATTAGCTGTAATCCAGCAATAAGAGCAACTCAGTTGACTCAGCTGTTTTATTTCTCTAGGTATTGTCAAAGTGAAATTATTAGAATTATTTGGCTATACAAAAGAACCAAAAAAATTTTAAAGTGCAATTATTAGGGATATTTTAGACATTTGTGTCGTCCAAACCAAAGTTTGGTCGTGGTTAACGGTTTTTGGATGAAAATTTAACAGAAGGGCATGTTTGATTTTTTTTCGAAAGTACAGGGCCATGTTCGATGTAAAAAATAATAGAGCAGCATGTTTGATAAAAAGACATAATAGAGGGGCATATTATACTATAACCCTTTGTAAATTTAAAAGATAAAGTAAATTTGCTAAGAAATGTCATATTTACCCATCTTTTTAAGATGAATTTAGGTATAGTTAGCATGGTACTAACATTATAGCTAGGGGTGTAATCGATTTCTCGGTTGACGGTATAACCGATTACCTAGGTATGACAATTTGAATCCGCCCCACCTAGTAATACCCGACCTGACCCACGATGGGGCGGGTATTACCCGACCGACATTAGCGTGGGGTGGGGCGGGGCATGGGTATCAACTTCCCACCCGCCCTGCCCTGCCCCACCCCATTCGTAGCCCGTTCTAGGTCAATTTTTTACCCCATCCATTCATATATCTCCTATTTTGGTTTTTATTCAACTAATTAGATTTGATCTTTCAACTAAATAAACTCAATTACTTATTATATTATCACTATTATTCATTCATAAAGTCTTTTCCCCTTTGTTTTATCATAAAAGTAAAATTGTACGTATATTTTTCTCAAATAGCATGTAAGAGTGGGTCGACCCGCCCCGACCCGTACTAGCGTGGGGCGGGGCATGGGTATTGAGGTACCCGCCCCGCCCCGACCCATTGCCATCACTATTACCAAACCCTTATTGCAAGGACTTAGGGCTACAAACGAGTCGAGTCGAGTTTTTGCTTAGCTTATGCTCGGCTCGTTTATAAATTTTTCTGCTCGAGCTCGACTCAAATTTTGATAATCCAAGTCGAGCTCGATAAATGCTCATTAACACAGCTTGTCAAGCTGAGTTCAAGTTTGGCTCAAGATGAGCCCGATTTAAAATCACTATTTCTAAAAATTCTGTATACATAGAATTTAAATGATAGAAAAATAGAAACTAAAAATAGCAACTAGCTTCCATATACTTTCGTATTAATAAGATAATGTTCATGTTTAGAAAAGTAACTAATCATTCACAAGCTCTAATTAAGCTAGCTCACGAGCTTATCAAGCTGAGCAACATCTAGCTCAATCTTGACTCACTTACTAACAAGTCAACTCGCGAGTCTGCTTGTTAAATAACGAGTCGAGTATCGAACAAATTTTTTCCAATTCGAACGCCAAGTTGCTCTCGAGGGGCTTGGTTCATTTGCAACCCTATGCAAGGTAATTTATTCCTATTAACTAACTTTGTGAGTTATGAAAAATCACATACAAGCCACACATTGTCCGTCGGCCGGAGCATACCTCTCATGTATCCAACCTCAGAAAGAGTTGGATGTTGTTGGAGAATAGAAAAGGAAGATGAATAGATACATACACATTCTTTCTCAACTCATCTCTCTGACCGTTAAAAGAGCACTCTTCAAAGGAACCTTGCCATGAGAAAGTAGCAGGTTTGTATGCCATTATTGCTATACAAACTCACTAACAGCAATATCCAAATTTCTTTTCATCGTCGAGACCAAAATACAATATCAGCCAAAGCTCTATGAACTCCAAAATGGGATATGAACACTTCCGAGAGAGCAGGAAACGGGCAGATATCTTGCCTGTGGTATGAGTTACTACAGTCATACCTTCAGCAGCTCCTGCAACAAAGCCCAAAGAAAGGAAAGTTAGTATTAGCATAACATTCAAGACAAGCCCCAGGACTGACCGAAGTCTTTTCCTAACTGGACACATAATCTGGAATGAGATTGCAAGAAGCTAAACAACAAGCTGACGGTCATCCTTTTTCGGAAAGTTACCAGCTGCTTGATTGAGAATTGAGATGGGCATACCTTCTCTTTCTGTTTGAAGAGGGTATCTACCTTCTTTGTGTAATCATCTATCAGCTTCTGCAAAAACAGAAAACAGTACCAAAGGTGGAAAGTTGGATTCAGAGCATGTTATTTGCATTCAGATGGTGTTGCTCTCAACCATCAAACCTGCTGTTTTCATCTCATTACTAATAGGTCAACCCTCTTGATACTCGGTGGAATTCAGGACATTATCATTGAGCTTAATACAAAAATAAAATGTGAAATTTCTAATTAGTCAAGCAAATTAACAGAACATGAGTTTCATGTATATATGATGCATATAATGTAGAACCAGGCACCTTAGAAGTTCAAAAAGTGCTTCCGAAGGGGATCCCTTTTTCAAATTGATTAGAGAATATAATCAAGATACTAGCTACAACCAGCATAAAAAAATGAAACGAGTGCACAGGTAAGAACTTTAGGATCAAGATACCTGTACATCACTTGACAAGTCCTTCACATTATCTTCTGACAGCTTTTTCTCCTGAAAGGAATACAAACAAACAAGCCAAGAGAGGAAGACGATTACATTAAAGCTTACCAGTTTGTTAATCCGAATAACAAAGAGACACCTCCTAAGGAAGCAAACAAAAATGAAAAGGGCACAAGCAGGTGCTTCTAGAATGAAACCTTCTCCAGCTTTTCATAAGCTTTCAGTATATCTCGTCTGATATTTCTCAAAGCTACCTATCAACATTGGTCAACAAATGTTGTGTTAGGAAAAGATTAGTGAGTGCAATATATGATATGCTTTAAAATCCAAGGATATCATGCAGGGCGAAGCTATCATAACTGACATGCTATGCCTATTACCAGGCTCCGCAACATGAGAGTTGCATATAATTTAAACATAAGATGAACCCTAACAAATCAGTTAGTCGTCCAAGATATGTAGAGGTGGCAATTGGATCGGATTCGTGGATTCGCGGATTGGATTGGTGGATCCATGGATCAAATGGATTGGATCCAATGGATTGGTGGATTCATGGATTGGATCAAATGGATTGGTGGATTGATCCATGAATCCAAAATGACATCCAAGGCTTGGACCAAAATGTAAATTTTGAAAAGTTTAGGTACTAAAATGTCATAATGAAAAATTTTAGGTACCAAAATGTAATTTTCCAATGATATTTTTCGTATAAAAATATAAATTTTAGGTACCAAAATGTAAAATATAAAAAATATAGGTACCAAATTGTAATTTGCCATTTGGATCCATGGATTGATCCATGAATCCACCAATCCAATTGGATTTGGATAAAATGGATTGGATTTAAATGGATTGGATTAGGTGGATAATTTGATGGATGGATTGGATTGGATTCATGGATTTGGATCATAATTGCCACCTCTAAAGATATGCCATGAAACCTATGTGGTCCAGATGAGTGATCTTGTTGTGAGAATGAGTTGAGTCCCGAACCATTAAGTGAAAACTACAGTACCTTCCCCTCCTCAGCCATTTTAGCTACAACTTTGGACAGCTCCTGCAATATCAAGAAAGGGGGAAATTCAGCTACATCCCTAACAGAATCAGTGAAATTTACAAAACAAAAAAAAATCATCTGAAAGACAGCAGACAGTGCCCAAAAATATGGAGTAATGCAGTAATCCCAGAAAGAAATCAAGGCCAATGTACTGCCCTTGGCTCAGATATATTAAGAATTTAAGATACATTAGTCGTTACCATTTGTTTTTCAAGGTTAATAATATTCCATGACCAAATAAGTAGAATAAATTGAGATCAACATCTCAATTTTGATGATTGGGAAACTATACACTGCCCAAATTATTGAAAGACAAGGTACCTTCCTTCTGTCAGATGTCAACTGAGGGACAGAGAGTCGGATAACTTCTCCATCATTGTTTGGCGTCAAACCAAGATCAGAATTCACAATGGCCTTCTCTACAGCCTTCAAGCTGACACACAAAATGTATCAAGTAGTAACCCTGAATCCAGGATACCAAGCATAACATGCTAAATTCTAATTTTACGTTATTCATGGAATGCAAGAGCCCTAGTAAAGAAGACACTAAAAACCTCACTGCCACTGTCTACAGCACAGGGCACCTCAAAGAAACTCTACAAAGTATTTGGTTATGTTTATGCCTGTATCTGGTGTGGATCCATTCTAGACGTTCTATTCATGTGATGATGAAATTAGTGGCATACTGCTCATACTTCGGTAGTTCACTTACAAATTACACAATGGCTAATACATGCTGGGCTAATCCCGAGACTTCAAAATACCTGGACTTGTCGTATGGCTGAACCAGAATAGAGCTAGCATCAGGGGTACTGATTTGAGCTATGCTTTTCAGGGATACTGGACTTCCATAATATTCCACCTGAAATGCATATATTTTTCAACCCTTTCAGATAAAACCAACCATATCCTCGTACAGAAACAGCAGTATTACAGCTAACAAAAAGTTCTAATGATGCAGCAGGTGACACACCATGCTATGACAAGGCAAACCCAGCACTTGATCAACAAGCAACAGTTTTGGCCGATTCATCGTGCAGACATGAAATTGGGTAAATACAATACTGTAAAGGCCTTCAGTCATCTATTGTTCAGACGAATACCTGGATCTTATCTAGCATGGAAGGGTTTGCTCTGCCCGTCCTTACGGAATTGAAATTGGTTCGAAGTGTCTCGATAGTCTTTTCCATCCTTACTTTCTGATAACAAAAGCCAAAGCCAATCAGCCGATGCAACAATGTTCCTTTTCTCACCAATACAGGGGCAGGAATTGGCGAGAGAATCAATTACAAAAGCTACATACAGCATCTTGTTCAATAGATGATTTCTCAGCTTCAATTTCTTCCATGGTCGCACACCTCACGAATCCATCTCTGAATCAATTAGCAATTACAGCAAATGCAAGAAATCAATCACGCGAGGAAATAAATAAAGAAAGAAAGAAAGAAAGGACTAAGACAGCAAGTATATGAATAGAAGCGAAGCTACTCATTTACTCGCCTCTTGGGCGGCAACCGCTTCACAGCAATCGGCTTCCCGCAGAGCTGGGGAGCGCCGGCCCTTAGACTGGCGTAGCTTAAAGAAGAGCTCCAGAAGCACAGAGTGGCAGCGGCAGTACTGGAACGGAGCTTACGGTGCGGCACTGCGTAGCACGAGCCTGCAGAAAACCGGTACGCATTAACTGGACGGGAAAAGGGAAAAAGGAAAGAGGAGAAAGAAAACTACACTGTGGAAAAGTGAAAAGGAGTCAAAAGAAGATGAAGACCTGGAATGGAGGGAGAGTTGGTGTGCTTCGCATGAAGGAGGGAGCGAAGAGACAACGGCGACGCCATGAAAAGCGGAGGAGAAGAAAGTTGAGAGTGTGTGAGAGCTGCTCAGGGGAATGGGAGCAAGAGGATGGATGTGGAATGTGGATAAGTAGGGACTGTTCGGCCGCTGGGAAAATAGAATATTGCGACAAGGCCGGCCAAGGCCCAAATATAACCCAGTGGTCATCGAAGAGGTGGGCTAAGGGGTCCATTTTACGAAGCTTATTGTGGTTTTAAAAGGGATTCCGATTAGAAGCATAAGACTTATGGGCCTGAAAGTTCACACAAATGGGAGGGTGGATTTGGTGACTAAGGGGTGTTTATTCCAATCTCAGTCCTTAGATCAGGACACATCAATTTGATGATTAAAAAGTGATAAGGATTTTTAATTAATAACAGAGATAGTTTGGGTATTATGGAAAATTATGAAGTATACAAAACTGACTTACAAACAGCACAAACTATACAAATATACGAACAATACAAATTAGAGAGACAAAACATACAAACAAATTTACAAACAATACGAAACGTATGAACTACACAAACAATACAAACTTGACCGACAAACATTACAAAACATACTAACAATACAAAATGTCACTACTTACAATATAAAACAGTAAACTTGTATTACTAATCAAAGAATACAAAGTATAGAAATCACAATATAAAGTATACAAACTAGACAAACAAAGATTACAAATTACAATGTATACAAACATTAAAAACTAGACAAACAAACATAATAGATAAAAATGACAAACTAGAATGATAAACGGTACAAACCGAATTGATACAAAATCATAAAACATACTTACAAACATTACACAATCGTCTGACAAACATAACAAAACAAACGTTGTCGCTGGAAAATCTTCTTCGCCGTCGCCACCAAAAAATTCGCTGATGACGAAAAATCTCTCTCTCGTTCCCTTCCTCTCTCTCTCTCTCTCTCCCTCCCTCCTAGTAAAGCATCGTTGGGGAAATAATCTCTCAATTCCCTTCCCTTGTAAAGCATTGTTGGGGAAAATAAATGTCACAAGAATAGCGTCGGTGGGAAGAATTAAAGCGACGTCGGTGAGCAACGAGGGGGAAGCTCCCAAAAAGTGTGGCGTCGGGGAAGATGACGTCGCATATGTTTTTATTTTTTAATTTGATTGATAAACCATTAAATCATGTAATTACTTTACTACCCTCCATTAAAAGAGATCAATTGAAGCCATTAGATTTAAACGGGGTTGAATGGTTGAGATTGACTTAGCCATGTGACAAAGGGACCCCCCTTTAGTCACTTGATCTTAGCCCCCCAAATGGGGTCTTCTCGGTAAGCTCCGTTTAGTCATTTCTTCCTTCCATGATAGATTTCACTCCTTGGCTAGTGATAACAATGGGGCGGGGTGAGGCGGGTACTTCAATTCTCATTTCCCACCCCACGTTACTACGGGTGGGGCCGGTAAAACTCGCTCGGGTACGGGGTGGGTCGACCCACTCTTAAATGTTATTCGGAAAAAAATACACGCAAATTGTACTTTTTACGATAAAATGAAGGGGAAAATACTCTATGAATGAAAAATAATGATAATAGAATGGGTAATTAAGTCTAACAAGTTGAAAAATCAATTCTAACTAGTTGAAGAAAAGTCAAAATTGGAGAAATATGTATAGATACGGTAAGAAATTGTTATACAATAGGCCAAGAATGGGGCGGGGTGGGGCAGAACGAGTTGGAAGTAGATAATTATGCCCCGCCCCACGCTACCGTAGGTCGGGTAGTGGTGGGTATTACCCGATCTGACCTGCGATGGGGAGAGTACTAGGGTGGGTATTACCCGACCTGACCCGCGATGGGGCCCGGTTCTACCCGACCTACAGTAGCGTGAGGCGGGGCATGAGTATCTACTTCCAACTCGTTCTGCCCCACCGCCACCACTACTCCTTGCCTACCAATTTTAGTGCTTTATCTCTTATTGGAAGAGTAATTAAAGTAGCTCTGGAATCTCTCTTTACCGCCTCAACTGAAGTTGTTTATGGGATGACGGGTTTATCTAATACCGAACCAAATCCTGTCAGTGCACTCACTAAAAAAACTCGCATTGGATTTCAAAAGTAAAAATCCAACCCAATCCAGTGGGTACCCACGGGTGCATAGATACAACCATGGACTCACGAACATAATCATACATATTTCTTCGAACACCCACGTCGTAATGTTATGTTATCAACATTTTCCATAAAAAATTACATAAAAACTACTATTATCAATAAAATATCCATTTTATTAGGTTTATATTGAATGAAGACAAGTAACATTCATCAATTATTCATATTATTCCATTAGATACAAATGACTTCGTTTTGCTAATTTGCTTTATGATTGTGGATCAGGTGGAAAGCAGATTGGGTCTTGACAAAAACCAAACCCGATCCAATCCGTCAAATTTAAAAGCGGATAAAACTCACTTCCGATCCAAAACCCGTCAACACTGAATTATACTCACTTTGATTGAGTTGGGTCAGGTTGAGTACCCGTGAAATTGGGTTCAATTTTCATCTATAGCTAAGGCATCCTTAGGCTGAGTGCAATGGGGTCGGCATATATAGGAAAATCGGCAAATATGGGGAAGTGGAGTCTCTAGCGAGACTCTATATTTGGGGAAAGGTGGCAAAAATATGTGTGTGTGTGGGGGGGGGGGGTGGATCTGCATTTGGCTCGCTATCGTACTCGTGGGGAAGGTCCGTTGAGGATATGATCAAACACCAGAGACATTCCCAAAACATTGATATCGTTGTTCGACCCAGGCTGGTCGAAGAATGCATGCCATATCCAGGTGTTGTATGAAGCCACTACTTCGAGAATGATTGTTGGTTTATGGTTGTGCCCCTGGTACTGCCCAGTCCAAGAAGTAGGACAGTTCCTCCACTCCCAGTGCATGCAATCAATTGATCCAATCATACCAGGGAATCCGCGTTGTGAGCCTTTACGAAGTAGGATCCTTAAACCAGCAGGAGTTGGTGCATGAAGGTATGTCGACGAGTACATCCTGATAATGGCTCTGCAAAACTTTCTGAAGACTTCTTGTACAGTGCTCTAACCCATACGCACATAGTCATCAAGTTGATCAGGTTGAGAGCCATAAGCTAGCATGCGCATTGCACTAGTAAGCTTTTGCTTCGGCGATAGGCCTAGGTGACCAATGACATAACTCCTTCTTGCAAAAGAGGGATCATACCTCACAACATCACCCATTATGTGATTGAATAGCTGTGGTTGCATACAAAAAGGTATTTTGAATATGCGTGCATCGTATGTTGGATTTGGATTGAAGTAATCTTGCATAAGACGATCATGACCTGAGACCCTTTCACGATCAATGTAGGTGTGTCTTGATGAACGAAGACATGAGTATGAAGCTTCATCAAGCCTCAGTCCGATTAAAGCCAAATGATGATAGTGAAACAGGTTCAACTCTTTCATCTCTTCTTCTCCTCCAAACGATGAGTAATCTGAGGAACTCATGATGGATATGTTTGTTTTAGAAATGGGGAGAAGTTGATGGATGTGTTTGATTTTGAAGTGGGAGGAAGTTTCAGAGAAGTATTGAATTGATGGCAAATGGAGGATTTGTATTTATATCCGAACGATCATATCCAATCTTGTCTTACCTAACGGTCATAACCGAACATGTGCTACCTACCAATGACATTACTAACATGTGCTACCTACCAACCTTACCTAACGGTCATATTCGAACATGTGCTACCTTCTAATGACATAACTAACATGTGCTACCTACCAACCTTACCTAACAGTCATATCCAAACGGTCATATTCGAACGGTAACATCTAACGGTCATAAATTCTCTATATATTCAGACCTCGATGTCCTCTCTTTCTACATCTCACTCTTACTAAATTGAATTTTTTTGTCAACTTCATCATCCTTTCTATCATCTTTCTCTCTCTAAAAACCAAACAATGACAAGCAAGAGAGGAGAGAATTGAAAGTGGAGGAATATAAGAATTTGTGCAATTCTTGGGTCATGATATCAGAAGATGGAGTTGTGGGCGTCAATCAAAGAACTAGAAAGTTTTGGGATAGAGTGGCGGCGCAAATTCGAGTGAACGATCGAAACTCAACTCGTACTATCAAAAGCATGTCTTATCGAATGGGCACAATATCCAAATTCTGCAAGTGTTGGAATTCAGCTATCCAAAGGGAAGGGAGGAATCAACCAAGTGGCACGAATCAACAAGATGTGGTATGAATTCTCTGTCACCATCATTGTTATTTTCTAACTCGTCCATTAGTACGTGTGTTTTACTTTCTAAATCTTTTTCCATCTCATTCATTCATACGTATAGGAGTATATGGCAGAACAACGGTATTTAAGTGAGACTGGAGAAAAGGGTTGGAATTTTGGTCATTGTTGGTGGATCTTGAAAAGACGCCAAAAATTTCATGCCGTGATAGGTGATGGTTCTCCCAAGATTCGTGGTTATCGATCAACACCACAGACAGACCTCAATGACACAGAAGGAAACGAAGAAACTCCACCCTTCGTCGGAGAAACTCCACCCTTTGTCATATCTCGTCCTGCTGGACGTGACAAACAGAAGGCGGCTTAGAAGAAAGGAAAGGGGGTTGCTGAGTCATCAGAGAGCTACACTGCTCAATTGCTGGAGTATGGAAGTGAGATGAAGGAGAGGCATGCTTCGAGGGCTGAGTATGAGCAAAAAAGAATGGAATTCCAAGAACAAAAATCAAAGCTTGACCAAGAAAAGTGGGAACTTGAGAAAAAAGAGGGGGAAGCAACCCTATTTCATGACAACCTTGATCTTCTTGAAAAGGACTTGTCGAAATTGACACCAAGAAAGAGGAAGTATTAAAAAATCCCCAAAACATGTTTCTAGGGTATGATCAAGATGATCCCAACTCTGTTCCCAACTATTCATCCAACGCAAGTTAGACCGGAGGAGGAGATGGAAGTGGAGGAGGAGATGAAGATGGAGGAGAAGATTA